AGAAAATGGCTCTAGTACTCTGAAACGTCTTGCTTGAGGAAAATAACCTCAGATATCATATTTTTAAGCTTGTAAACAGTTTTGCAAAAAACATTTACATTGTCCATGAATAAAGACTATATCGCTTTGTTGAATAGCATCCAGTCCCATAAGGATATTCGAGACTGGATCGCTAAGAACTGTTAGCCATCCGCCGGCTGCTATAGTTCCTATACAGTCCGCGAATGCGTGAAAACGTAAAAATGCAGTTCTTTTCTTGCGAATGCACGATATTGTAATGCTCCTTATTTCTATTCAATCTCAAGTGCTACTTGAGCATACAATATCTCAAAAATTGAATTGCTGTAGGCAAGCATTTTCTGAATGGTTTCGTAATTTTTAGCTCACTCGAATCGCTCCTTTAGCATGAAAAACTCGATCTTCGATGCCGCTCCACGGCGATCAGTAATTCGGATGGGGAACTCACCCGATTAGTCGCTTCCAATGGGCTTAGGGGAACAAGGGCAGCTACGGCGGCCAGGGTCATATGCGAACTCGCTTTTGTTGTCATAAACTCCTGCACTGTACTTTTACCATTTTAAAGGTCGATATAAAGACCTCTCACCTCCTTCCAATTCGACTCATCTTTCTACGCACAATATTTCCTCCCACTTCCATATATAGACATTGCTCCATGTGCTATGGCAAATTTGGATTTCCCTATTTTTCAACAATTTCGTGAAATGACAAAGGACATCAAATAGCTCCTTCCATTGGCAAATTCTCCACTTCTAACTCTTGTAAATTCAAGTGTTTACATGCTCTAGAACAGTTTTTCAACAGTAATTACCCATGAAACTTCCAAGAGTCATTCATGCAATTTAAGTTTGACAGGGATTGATTGCAGTAACCTCTGTAATAATCCTAAAGACAGTCAGAACCCATAGAACGTCCAAAAGATAATCTGCTTATCGCAACGGATCAACCTTCAAGGTGACCTGAGTGCGAGCACTGTAACCTATAGGATCACGATTAAGATTTATTCCCCCCTATTCTATGATGTGTGCGATTGTGAGCCTATCAAGTGTACGATCCACCTTTTCCAGCAATGTTTCGTATAGTGATGATGCCGCTTAGGCAAGTCCCAATGCATCGCTCTTTTCTCTTTATAGCATATGTAAGAACTTCATGAAGTTGAAGTGCCGTCGCAAACCACAAACTAATATTTCACAATCCTGTGTTCTCTTTTCGGCCCAATGTATTTGTCTTACGAATTTGTGAAGCTTTCTACCAGGACTTCTGTAAAAATTAATTTCAGAGTGGAATTTTGAAGGGAAAACAAACACAATATTATCTTCTATCTATCTTTATCTTCGATTATCGTTATCTGTTATTGCGTTTATCTTCGATTTACGATTACGATTCTGATTATGAAGTGATGACCCTTTTCTCGTTAAACGATGTAAAAATGTGGAAATTGCAGTATTACACATTATTACATGCCCTGCGTTGTGAACGTGTCGAAGAGGATTTTATGTGAAAATCTTTTGGGAAGTTCATTATCGCTGTCAGCACACGGCAATGTGTTTGTCTCATTCTCGGTCACGCCGTCTTTACTATCGTTTAACGTTATGATGACTGGTTCTATTGCATGTCGTAGCGGAAAGTGTCACAATCACTGTTAATAAATTTACTTCTTGGACACGATAGCACATCATAGCATCAGACTGACTGTCTGAGCACGTCTTAAGTGTGCTCCGTCTATGCGCCAAAAAGTACAGTCGACTTAATTTTTGTACTTTGCATCGGTCCTCGGCTAGCCATTCTCTTACCTTCTATAATGAATATGACTGCGCAGCTAAATTTCAATCGCCTGGTCTTCTATGAGAAATTGTCTGATTTTGCAAGTACTACGCAGTCTTGAAAGAGAGTTACCGTAACTTTTAGCATTTCGAAACTACTCCAAGTCTTATAAATACTGATGTCTCTAAAATTGCCGAAATATTTGAGAGAGGTTGAATTTCCATCTTTAGCATTGCTTTTTACGTACTTCCGTAACTTCTACGTCAATGTCCTCAACTGTGTGATGTGCCATTCCTTTCTCCGGCAATTACTGACCGATCAGTTTTTCGGGCGCTATTTGACCTGAATATATTTGGTCATAAGTGTGCCGTGGTAATTAACTTAGTAACCTACTGTGTGCTGTACAAGAACTTTCCAGAATCTTACACTTTCACTGATGTGACATGCGTGTGAAGGCATGATCGAAGGTGTACTACACTGATTCGAATTAGCTTAGCTGATAACTTCATCTGGCTGTAGTAGCGAAACCGCAAACTGTCATGTGTGTTTCATAATTTTCGTAGTTTCCAGAACTTTTTTTGGTGTTATGACGTGCTACTGATCTTCGAGAGGTTTATAATAATGATAAACTAAAAAAAAGTTTCATTTTGCTCAATTATGCACCTCTTCCTTAATCTTCGAAGATCTCCCATTTCCGAAAATTCCTATTCTGTTGAAGAGTTTTTTTCGATTAGAAAAATTACTTCTGGTCGAATTGACCTTTTATCAAATGCTAATTACATATATGAAACTATTGTTCATTCTTAGTTACTTTTATATGAGCGGAGGGACCATTATTTCGACAAGAGTACTGTATCTTAACATGCAATAGAAATTTAACGAAGAACATTTTCTGGAGTCCATAATGTTCCTCAAAGATTAATCACATACATGTATTTATCGGTCATTTTTAGTTAAAGATTATGGCTGTTATCTAGTCCTTTCACATTGCCAGCGTTCTTTTTACAATGATAGAAAAGACGTTTTAAAATTTATGTCTTTACAATAGAACGGCTCCTATACTGACTTGTAAAATCTTGATATTGAAGTGAACTTTTATTG